ATACCGGGCTGACGCTCTGGGAATCTGGTGCAACCATTCAGGTAAAGCTGTAGTGAATGGCTGGTTGGAGACAAATGCACGCACGCAGACTTGGCATTTATGATGTGGAACTTCCAGATCCCCTTTTTCATGGCCAGTCGGACCGGCGAACATGCCTGGAAACTAGAGGTATTTCCACAATTTACCCGCTGGCAGAATGCATGGTGGTGCGACCATCTGTCGCGAAAGTGATCTGAGTGTTGAATGACAAGGAGGTGAGGAAAAGAGCGTAGAGGTTGACAGGTAGAATGGGGCATCGTCAGCAGAGATCAGAACTCCGCAGTAAAATATAAAGGAAAATCCGAGTCCCAGATAACAAAGAAAAAAAAATAAATGAAAAAAAGAGGCAGTGTGCGTTAGTGCATTTAATCCCTGTCCTGCGCGCACACCGACCTCGCTTTACCAACAGTAGCGGTTGTATTTAAATCTCATGGATTCGCTCTCCATCGGCGATATTTTCTATCTGTATCAGCGCAGTGCAGATTCTCCCCTGAAGCTATGGCGTTACTCTCACCCAAAATTTTCATTGCGTTGGGCATCTTCACCCTCGTCTGGGTGGTCTGGTGCCTGGCCACGTTGATTGCCAACGTGTCTCGGGCTCGAGCGACGGGCCTCCAGTATGTGATTGTCCCTTGTTCCATGCTCGGCGCTCCCTGGCTGTTGACCCAGCCGCTGCTCCTCCCTATTTTACAAGCCCTGCCGGAATTGTGGACGGAGAAATGGCTTCCACTACTTTTGTTTAACGACGGATGGCACAATGGCTATGAACCCTTCCAGCGGGTCGGAGCAGACACATTTCTGGCTGTCTCACCCGGTGATATTATCTTCTATACCTGCGACGCCGCGGTATCTTCGCAGCTATTCCACAATGGTCGGCTGGGAAAACCAGCCCATTTAATGAGCCTTTTAAATATATTTGGCCCGACCATGACAGGTACCGATGGACCAGAGGCGCGGTTATACCGTCGCACCGCGGCCCCCTTTTTCACCGAGGCCACAATGCGGGACGTGTTTGTCGGTGCTGTCCAGGGAGGTGCCGAATTATCGCGGGCGTTGAGACAGCCCGCGGCCCATCGTCAGCTACGAGACCTCTCCGCCAAGCTTTCAATTCATTTACTGAGTCGTTTTTGTAATCAGACCGAGACCCAAGAAGACCTGGTAAATGCATTGCAATGCAAGGACAAGCCGCAAGGCACTCACCGTATGACCTACAGTGAAGCTGTGTTCACCTTGCTGGAGAGCTTTACGACTGTGTTTCTTTGCCCGCACGCGCTTCTTCGTATGTGATTCCTCTTCTTGACCTCATTTTTGATTCCTAACAACATGGGATCCATCAGGGATTTCGCCTTTCTCCACCCATCGTCAAGCGGCTACAGCATTTACAGAAATGCGTCGCTACATGGAGGAGATGAAGGAACGAAAGGTGGCAGAGCTTGAGCAAAAGCCTCCTGCCCCATCAAAAAACGCTTCAAGTATCCTAGGTATGTACATTGTTAAATCCCAACTTCCCTACGTCAAAATCTGACGGTCTATCCCAGAGCTCCTTGTTCAAGCTGGACTCCCAGCGGCGGACGGAAGTCCGGCTGTTCTTAGACCGGACCAGGTAATGGGAAATATTTGGACGTTTGTGTTCGCTGGCCACGAAGCAAATGCCAATACCCTCACTTTCATCATGTTGCTCCTTGCCTGCCACCCCGTCACCCAGCGCGCCATGCAAGCCGACCTCGATCGAATTCTCCAGGACACACCGCCAGATCAGTGGACGTATGACGCGCATTTCAACCCATTAATGAACAGTCTCGTAGGCGCTGTGATCAATGAAGCCTTGCGTCTTTTCACCGTCTTGCCGGTGATTCCAAAATACGTGCCCCCGACAGGACCTCCTGTCTCTATCATCATCGACGACCAGGCTCATCCCTTGCCACCAGGCATGGTCGCTTTCGTGAACACCAGTGCCACTCATCGCCATCCACAATATTGGCCACGTCGGGAATCGAGTACACACCTAAGAGCTTCTGAGAATTGCAAGAAACGGCCGTTCGCAGTGTCTGACTTCGATCCCGAACGGTGGATTCAAACGACAGACGGTGGCAAAAATGAATTTTTGAGCCCAATCCCCGGTAGTTTTATACCATTCGCGGAGGGAAGCCGAGCATGCCTGGGGTATCGTTTTGCCCTGGTGGAATTGTGTGCCTCCGTAGCCATCGTGTTCAAGTCGTCGTCGGTGAGACTGCTCACCAGGGACGAAGAAGCTGACGGTAGTAACCCTGGGGGTGCCGCAGATACCTGGGAGGCAGCCAGAGATCGGGCTGAGTTAGCTCTTTCCGAGGGTGTTAAGTTTGATATGAGTTTGCGGGTCGTTCACGGTTTGCCTGTTCGATTTGAGGCGCGTAAATGAGGTATAGTCCGTGGGTCGAAACCAGATATAGAACTAGGTATGTCAGTATTCTACAATAACAAGTACCATTTCTTAAATTTAACTTGACAGTCGTATTAACTACTATTCTTCAAATATACGAATACTTCGCAAATATTTCTGCGTTTCCAAGTACAACCATAGTTGAGATAGCTATAAATCAATGAGATGATGAATATAATCTAGATTTAGCTCACCAATATATAGTATAGGATGATGCCTGCTGGTCTTATCCAGGGGTGGAGTTAGGGCTGGTCATATCACGGGGCTTGATTTATCGCGATGAGTAGCTCTTATGCTTTTCGATCTACAACAAGCGGGTCTGCAATGGGCCACTCGACAAGTGGGAGAAGCATGGATATGCTTATACTATGCCACCTATTTTGACTTGTGCTTGATCATCTGTTTGACTAGGATAGCCAGCAGTCTTATGGTAATGCTAAAATGCGATGTTGATTATAACGAGGAAGAGTGTGAAAACATACACTCTACGAAGGATATAGTCATTGGTATGATTTGTTCTAAGACATGAATTCATCAATGAATTAGAATAGCCGATCATATGAGTTTGGTTGATCTTCGGCCCCGCATCTGTGATTAGTGATACTTTAACGGATGATTACCGGTAAATCTCAGAGTTGCATCGAAATGATCAACATATCCACCTAGTGTATGAGGACAATACTACTATATCATAAGGTCTATGAATATGAAAATATGCCCATCTTTATACCGCTAACACTGTCCCCATATGTGCAAGGATCAAAATGTCCGAATAAAGCGCCGCAATCGGCGGCCCACACCGACTACTTTGCATCTCGCCCGGGCCATGACGCTGCCGAAGCCGTTCGTGGCGTGCGATTGCTTCATCCACTCCACTCCCGCGCCGCCACGCCTAGCCCAATACCGCCGATATGCCGATAATGACGGCGGTGTCTCAAATGCCAATTCCTTTTATACATGATGATTCTCTTCACCGGTGAAGCCCCGCTACACCACACCCCCCACAATGCGCGCGTTCCTTGATACCATCACAAACACGAGCGCTGGCCAGGATAAGTTCCTCAAAGTTGTCCAAAACATCATTCGGCTTCTACTGTCCGTATCACTATCTTGGAGATACAAATGTAGACTTCGCTGGCTCGACAAAGCGTTTTTCATGCGGCTTCGTGCGGAGATCGGGGTCGCCGTCAAGCTCACTCGCGTCTGTTCTGTGCCAGGACATTTACAGCAGCTGGCGGACGCGATCTGTTGTAAAAGCGAACCGGCTCTTCACCGGATTCTGAGAATTGCCAAGGCTCTTGGATATACCGTTTTCGCGATTGGAGATGTTGTCAACTACGTGAGTTCCGGAATATTCTCCTCTCTTTCCCCTCTTACTGCCAGAGTCATTACCCTGGAGAGATTATGAACTGAGCAAAGAGATGGCCTTTAGCTCTCCACCATTGCGTTTACGATCCCATCGAAGTGGAAACCCAGGATAGCGCGGGCGTCCGTGCATGCCCTCCTCCTTGCCACCGTCTGTCAATTCATGCTGGCTACCATTGCTTCGACAAGGAATATCAAGATCACATATCGGCAGGATAGTCATTCCTTGAAATTGAATGGCATTCCTCGCTTTAACATAGCGAAGCGACAGGAACTACGAACTTGTACGTCCTCCCTCGGGATTTCCTTATTGTTATCTCTTCTTCAGTGTTACGTAGTCCCATTAACAGTGGTATAGTCCTTCCTCTTCTAAGCGCAGCCTGTGACATGGTGTCAGCGATCGCCGGCGCAGGCTACAAAGAGGTGAACGATGCGACGCTGGGAATTCTCGGATCCCTGAGTGGCGGATCCGGATTGACTTTGATTGTCACTAAATAAGGACATGCGGATTACATCGCCGTTGTCGAAGGTTGCTATGTTATCCATCTACATCACGATTCACATGACGTAATGAAACCCTTGAATGATCGCTCCCATTGCATGCGAAATGTACTGTATTCTGTTGGTTTAGTTCAGCCAAATGAGACATCTATTAATGATACCATCCCGTATCAACGTGCTAGAATATTTGAATTTCCAGAGATGAATCCATATCGTGGACTCCAGATTCGGTTTGCCGAGGCTTGTATTTGATTATTTATTAAGCTTATCAATCTCGGCCTCGGCAAGAGAAGTATAAAGTAACAAAGGCTGAGTTTAGTCTAGTTTGGTGGCGAATGCCCCACTATTTCCTTTGCTATCCGGGTTCCTTATGCATAGTCTGCATGTAGTAGAGTCGATCTCATGCTCTGCCCACTATTCTTAGCTCTAATTGGACCAGTAACATTGAGACCTGTACGTCATCGGGGAGAGCCAGACAACTTCAATTGCATTTCAGATTCAGCAATGACCATGTTTTACAGACTTCCTCTTGCGTTAAACGGTGCCGTGCAATGCCCTGAGGGGGATATAGAAGTATAGAATGACCACAACAGAAGGGTGATACTATTATCTACAACCATTCAATATTCGCTAATTTGACAGAGACAAATGAAGAGACACAGGATTCCTCTTAAGATCAATCGGAAGATCCGACAGCATGAAAATCATGTAAACGGAGCTCCTCATTTATATCCCAGCCATACCGCTCTGCGAGATCCTTCACCTGAGTCTCGTTTGGTAACGAATAGAGGATGCAGCCTGAGAAGTCGTATTAGTCCGTTTCGTAGATGTCTGATTGTTCGCCACATTACCATGTTTCTCTACTCGGCGTCTCCTCCACTGGTTAATACGCCCGATTAACTCTTCTTTATATTCAACTGGGCCGCGGCTATCATGGCCAGCATTCAGTAGTAGCTCGGTATGCTTCAGCATATCGGCGGTAGACTCGTATTTTCCACGCCAAGCATTTTCGATCATAGGGTCTAATCCATCATGACCTGTATGAACGAGGGGTAAGGATAGAGAGCCGTGATTGTCGACCGATATCTCGGGACGGACCCCAGTCTCCAATTCGTAGATCAGCGAGCCCATGGCAAATCGATCTGTTGCATCGGGGATGGTTTCTGACGGACCATTCAGGAGGACTGGACGTGATGGATTGGGATGTCCAAAGGGACAACTTGCACTAAAACCACCCAGTAAGGCGTGGCCCTTTTGATCAGACAGTATATTATCCTTACGTAGATCGGAATGAGCGATATCAAAACGATGGAGATGAACGAGGGCGCGCATAATGTCCTGATACCAAGCAATACGATCGGGCTGAGTGCTGGGTAAAGCGCCGGAAAGTGGCTGGTACTTGCGTAGGTGGATACCTTCAGGGTGACCAATGTCAATGGCTTCGATGATTTTCGGATGAGGATGCTCTATCAGTAAGCGAAAAACTGTTTTCTCATCCTTCAAGAGGCCAAAGTGGAAAAGGGTTTCTGAAGCATAGTCCCAGAAGGCCCGGGGTGTATCGTTGCTCGAAGCAGGTTGGTATACTCTGCAAGCCTTCAAAACAAGACCATCATCGACGTTGTAGATTTGGCCTGCCGGTCCAACGACTACAATCTCGAGCCCTATCTGATACTGGATTGTCAATTGGGAATCTGCGTAGTTTGGAGTCTTGCCCAAAGCCGAATTTCCCCCGGCGGGTGCAACATTTCTTCCAATATCTGGTACTGGTCTACTTGGGTAAAGTGTCGACAAAGAACGGTCCAAGCACAAGTAACAGTCGCACAGGCAAATGACCATATAGTCGATCAACGGGAAATAATAATGGTGAGCATTTCGATGCAAGCCCACGAAATATGAAGTTCTCAGGGCCCTTGGACCTACATGAATGAAAGGAAGAAAGGGGGGGAGTTCAGGTTAACAGAGGCGACCCTAGTTCGTGTCCAAATACGCCCTGATGATCAATAGCACGGTGTCACTCAGCAATCTGACCATAAAGAGGTGCCGTTTGGACTATTACATGTCGAAGGCTACTCCCATTGTTTGATCCACGGGAAATGGTGCCAAATCACTAGATTGACGAGCTATATAGTTTCCAAGAACTGCGGATAACTACTGTCACAATGTGTCTGTAACCCAGACAATGAAAAAATGATCTGATATGTATTGGACTGTGACGGGCTCTAGACGACATTGTTGAAGAGGTAGCAAAATTGACAGGGGTTCGCAAAGGCCAATCAACAGGAAGATGAAAACTGAGATACTATAGAGAGAATTTGACCAAAGCAAAGCAACTAAAGCAGGCCAAATCGAGCAAGAGTCGGGTCCGTTAGGATCTGCTCTCGAACTCTTCCCAGATCGCCGTCCCATTTTCTGCCCGCACAAGGTGATACCACCGTTGTTTCGCACGGCTCCAGAATCGATTACCATCACGGACAATGTATCTAGGAAGAGTGGCGTCTTTGAGCGTCACTACCAACCCAGGTTCAGATGGATGCCGTTCAGCAGCGCGGACGTGTTCTGCCAAGAAAGAATCGTTTTTCGCAATAGCGAGGTCTTGGGGTGCCTCCACTAACTGGGCTCCTTCAGGCACTTGCTGCGTTACTGCTCCAGTTGACAGGTGGAGGAACCCACGCTGGGTTTGTATAACGCTATGCAGGGGATACACATACTCGGCTTGCAAATGGGTAGAATTCCCCGGCGTGGCGGCAAGCATACATATAGCCCACAGTGCCAACCGGAACGTCAGTTTACCAGATCCATAGGCTGAATATGGGACATGCACCCGTTGCAGGGGTGCAAAATCAACCCTACTCCTGTCGTCTCTATAGCTCGTACCGGATATAGACATTCGATCCACTCGTGAGCTGAGGGGAGATAAATCGGTAACATCTGATAGATTTCTCATATGGCTCTTCCGTGGTGGAGTTTTAGGCTCCCTTCGAGTGCGGTTGGCGGCTATCCCACTCCCGATATCCTCCACGCGGCAGTGGATAACGACCAACTCTCGGCCTGTGATGACAAAGGCATACCGTTGCTGAGTTTGCTCGCAGTATTGCTGCATCTGGCCAAATACTTGATCATATTTGTCCCGTTCGTATTCTTCGATTTCAGCGTTCCACTTTGTGGCCTCTTTGACGTCGCCTGGGATAAGGTTCTCGTATTTTGACGATAAAAACTGTTTCCGAGAAGTCCGGACTACAGCCAGATCGGGAGAATATCTCGAGTCGTCAGTTTGGTTGGTGCTCTTGGCTTTATCCCCAGTAACAATCTGGGGAGGATCACTTGAGTTGTGCAGTGATTTCCACGACTGCTTCAGGGCTGCGTTTATGGCCACAAACATTGTGCGCTGAAAAAAAGCCTTCGTCGAATCCTCACCCCAGTCCTCTTTTTCTGCACCTTCAGGGTCCGAGGGCTCTGGAATATCCTCAGCCAGCTCTGCTGTCAGGATAGGAAACATCTGCAGCAGGTTCTGGTAGCTGAAGTCAACCCAATCCTCTTTTCCATTCACTGTGGGATACATGTGATTGGTAGTGAGTGAGCCACCATTAGGCAACCTTTCGACGAAATCAGGGTTGCGTCTGGTAAGCACTTCGAGTAGAGTAGGCATGTTGAAAGTCCGGGTATTAAGGATTGAGAAAGGGTAGTTTGAGATGTGCAAGAACTTGTCCATATGCTCGAAAGTGATAGGCAATACCTGGCTTTTTATAGCCGTGCGGGGTCCAATCAATCCCAGTTCGTACATTTTTCGAAAAGGGAACCTAGGAAGACAAGGTCATTCTGACCCAATGAATCAGGCTGGCCCATCACCACGGCGCATACAAGGATCGCTCAACTCATGCCTACCCGATACCGGTGGCGGTTATTTATTTGGTATGATGACCAAACTTGAATGGAAAGAGACACATGCGCTAGGGCCTTTTCTCACTGGAGTGATAGATGACCAGCGTCGTTTCTCTAAGACATTGGGTAATTAGTCGCCAGGCCCCACTTGACGCTCAGACTACTACTAGGAGTAGTGTGGGCGGCTCCTGCGGCGTGAAGCCCAAGTCCTACGGCCAGGGATCTCGTCCAGCGGCAACATGAGGCAATGCATCGAAACCCGGCAGCGGCACTCGTTTTGATGATTATGCTTCATAATTTCAAGACATAAGTTGCAGCGTACAGGGCCTCATTCGGAGCCGATGTTATGTAAGATTTCGCAAGACACGAGAAGGGAGCCGAAACATCACTGAATTCTACATATCCCATCGACATAATTGATGTTTGTCCAGGTCGTTGAAGAAGTCAAAGAATTGCTTCGAGCGCGCATAACGACGAGAGAAAGGGAAGGTAATCGTACATCCTAGATCGACAATCCGGTCCCCTCTATAATTGTCCTTTTTAACGTCGCGGGGCAGGATATGGCCGCGTTTTGGAATATAGAAATTGGTAAGAATATTTTGAAATTTCTTATCGTGACGGCTCGGTGGCTCATCAGCAATAAAATCCTTCACAATAGCCCAGTGGGCCCGATACCAATTCGGATCATTCCTCACTGGCCCGCTTACTTCCCGAAGCTGGTGAAGTTGGGAGTCCGTTAAATACATCCATCCATGACACTGCACTGCCCAACGGCCATTTTCGTGCAGGTCGCATAGACGAGCGAATGCACGCGCTTCACACCCGAATGGGCTGATAAAAGCTACTTCTTCTTCACTATATGGTGCAGTGTATTCATAAAACTGCGGTCCCAGTAATTAGAGACTGCCTAAGGGTTGGCGTGGACATAGATGTACATACCAACTTCAGGCAAAGATCTCGTTCATTGTGCTTAAACTTGAAAACAAAGCCCTGTTGGCCCTTGCCGATGAACTCAGGTTGCTTAATCTTATCTTCGTAACCAACAAATCTTTTCAACACGGGCTCTTGGTGTACTACTTGCTCGGGGTCGATGATAGAAGAGTCGCTGGTGAGTTTGACATCTAACGTTTCTTCTGACAGGAATAGTTCAAGTAAAAGCTGGTATTGATTATCCTGTTGGACTTGTTCCATGCTTAGGTGAGTTCAACTGTTGTATTGCAAGGGGCTTCCAGAGAAATTGGAAGAGTTATCGATCAATGACAAGGCCCGAAACAAGTTTTGACCGCCCAGGCAACGCGGTGTGTCACGGGATAGCGGGAGTGACTGATCTGATCCAAAAACCACCTCGGCCAAGAGTTCTATTAATAGGCGACGCATATAAAACTCATTTCCGCCTGGCCTTGAGCTTCAGCAGATTAGAGGTGGGGGGGGGGAATTGATAAAACAGCGTGCCTCAGGCTGCAATGTGAAAGCTGTGGACCGATGGCACTTCTTTTCCCTACCCAACATGGAAAGATATATTGCAGCTTCAGGTTTCACGACACAAAAAGTGTGTAAATGTTGAGACTTTTAAGCTAGGTCTATACTGTACTCAGGTTACTGATGGCCATTGGGAAGATCCAAGACCAAACGCATTCAGCTAGTTCCACTAAAATCAACAAATATCCTTCTCATCTTGCACGAATGTCTGTCAACAATCTCCTCCGACTCAACATGGAATCTAAGTACTACCCTGGCCCATTCCTTCGTGTTGATGGGCGTGGTCTTACCCAGAGTGCTGGCGGCGTTGTCAATGTGCAGACCCATGTTGGAAAGTACGAGACGTTGATTAGTATCAACCATCCCGAGGATAACACATTCTCCGCGCTTTCTGTACATCTGATTAGCAAATGTGTAGATACGATCTGGGGACCAACAAACATTATTTGCGCTCTGAATGGTAGGCCCATCCGCTAAGGGGTCCGTGAAAGGCTGCATTGATGTTAGAACGATCGGTGGGTATTAGATAGACCAGTTGACGACCGTACTCACCACACCGAGTTCAATGATATCTAGAAAAGAAAGTTAATAATGACCTCGGGAACCTCCTATCAATTCACATAGCTTCCGTTAAGGGAATACATACTGAGCCTGTCGTGTACGCCAGCGATGTATTTATTCGATGATGTGAGACATAGCGAAGCCGGGAATTCGGGCGAACGAGTGACGGCGACGTGACGGAAGCTGACTAGGGGCCAGACCGGCCGGGATTTCGACAGTGCAGCACAATTCACCTCTTTGTTATAACAAAGGGCCCAGGGGTTGGAAGTGAAACCGAGTCATTCCCACCTCACGACCACTCACTCCACCCGGGAGGAACGTCGTGACCAGGATCCCAAATTCTTCCTTCGCCTTTTGTTCTGGTCAGTTGTGCAACTAAGTTGGTTAACTAGTTCACTATTTAGTCCAGGTCTGACAGCCCTGACGCATTACAACGAAATGCAGCTGGAGAAGAATGACGATTCGAGTCCCTCGATCACAGCGATTCCACCTGGCCACGACTCCATTCATCCTTCTACCGACTTTCCAGAGAAGGCGCTGTCCGAGAATAACCCGGCCGGTGACCACCCGGTGCATCACACCGGCCCCGAACAAGTTCAACCACCACCGCCCATAGAGATCGACGGTGGTTATGGCTGGATTTGTGTGGTGTGCATCTTTCTGGTCAATGCCCATACTTGGGGAATCAATAGTGTAAGGTCTCGTGACCTTCAGACCAGGCTTGATATGCTAACCTTCGTCGCAATTAGTCCTATGGTGTCTTTTTGGCCCATTATCTGGCCACTAATACATTTCCCGGCGCATCCGACCTCGACTATGCCTTTGTCGGAGGTCTTTCCCTTAGTATGGCCCAATTCATCGCGCCGGTCGCAACAATCACGACTCGAGTATGGGGGACAAGAGTTACATTGATGATTGGAATTACATTGCAGACCGCGGCATTATTAGGAGCGTCGTGGGCCAGCCATATCTGGCAGTTGTTTCTCAGCCAGGCTCTGTGTTTCGGATTCGGGATGGGAATGCAATTCAGTGCTACGGTTGGTATCGTCCCTCAGTGGTTCACCCGCCGACGTTCCCTTGCAAATGGTATTGCGACCGCGGGATCGGGGATCGGAGGCCTTATCTATTCGTTGGCTACAAGCGCCATGCTTCAGAGATGGGGTATTGGCTGGGCTTTCCGGATCCTGGCTATTGTCTCCGCTGCTGCGTGCGGCTTCTCTGCTATCATTGTGAGGGATCGAAACAAGGCCATTGGAGCTATTCAAATCGCCTTCCATACCGAGCTTTTGAAAAGACCAGAGTTTCTGCTAACTTTGGCTTGGGGTTGCTTTAGTGTGTTGGGCTATGTGGCCCTTCTTTTCTCAATTCCCGACTACGCAAGCACCGTAGGCCTGACCGCTTCCCAAGGCTCCATCCTTGGTGCTATGTTCAACCTTGGGGGCGGCCTTGGCCGACCTGTTATAGGCTACATCAGCGATAGTTTTGGACGGCTGAATACTGCCCTCGCTTGTACCTTCCTGGCTGGCCTCTTTTCTCTTGTTATCTGGATCTTTGCCAAAAGTTTCGGGGTCCTCATCTTCTATGCTCTGATTAGCGGCCCCGTTGCCGCAACCTTCACGACGACCGTTGCTCCAGTAGGCGCGGAGGTCGTGGGAGTACAACTCTTACCGTCTGCTTTGTCGATCTTCTGGCTTTCGGTGGTCATCCCGAGCACATTTGCTGAGCCGATCGCCCTTTGGCTACGAACCGACAACGCAACCAATTTTCTGCATGCCCAGATATTTGTCGGCTGTATGTTTATGGCAGCATGCATTTGCCTCGGGCTTGTGCGAGCGTGGAAGATCTCAGAGTTGGAAAATGCTGATGCGGACGTCGATCAAGAGCCCGTGGCCAGGACGGCGAGCAGCGTTGCTAGTATGACGAGCAAGGCAAAGGCTGTGCAGGGATTATTCACGATGGCGAGGGTATAAAATGCAATCGACTAGAATAGTTTGACCAGTCCTACTCTGATGACGAAGGCGCCTGCCGCAAGGGCGACTATGTTCAAAAATATTTTAGAACTCGAAATGATAAAAGGTCTTGCATAAGGACTCGGAACATCTAATCATGAGCTGTATATCGAATTTATGCCAACGTGTATCCTCTATACAAGATCCCCAGTCTTTCAAGACCTAAAAGGCCGTAATGTCTTTGCTGGGTTGAGGCAGCGCCAATCAGTATGTTTGCAGACTCTTGATCTATAAGACTATTTGCAAATCAGGTTAGACACGAATAGTAAAGACTCCGACACGGACTTCCTAGCCCTGGAGTTCCCAAGATCTGCGATTCCTCGCCCCACCCGACGTCAGCCTGGCAATGAGGCGGAGTTCGGCCCCAAGGCATCCTTCTGGACCACCGCAGTTTATGTTGTTCATTTATTATGATGATATCGCCATATTATATTTATGAAGGTCTAGAAATTAAGTAATTCAATCATCCACCTTGACTTATCATGGCTTCCAGCATCCCGACCAAAGCCTGTGAGCCCATCATCAGCAAGACCTTTCCGCGCGATGGCTTGGCTGTGACAGCGTGCGAAATGGGGAGCAATTACTTCGTGGTCGCAAAGGAAGCTGCTCTCTATGTACTCGACTTTGCTGATAAGTCCCTAACTACGCTGCAAGAGAAGGGGAATATCACCTGGTGTCTCGCATTATGCGAGGATAAGAGCCTCTTAGTGACGGGCGGGACGGAGGGTGCGGTCCTGATATGGAATATACGGACAAAGTGACTAGCCTTGTGTCAATCTTTCCAGATAACAGCTGTTAATATTGCCTAGGTCAGTCACTCGCTTATTGAAGGGTCACACTAGCACTGTCCGCAGCCTCCAGATCGTGAATGATACCACGCTTATCTCCGGTAGTCGCGACTCGACCATCTGCATCTGGGACATGGACTCTGATGAAGTTGATCCTAAGCTAGTTCTAAAGGGGCATACGGAAACGGTACGGTGCCTCAAGGTTCATGGCGGGGTGCTCGTTTCCGGCGGTAATGAGGGGGAAGCGCGAGTTTGGGATATCCATACCGGACAATGTCTCCATGTGCTCAAAGGACACACAGGGACTCTGTATGATATATCTTATGACGGCTCTCGGATTGTCACAGGCAGTCTGGACTCAACTATCCGAGTTTGGGACCCTCACTCAGGGTTTGTTTTCTTTGCTATCTAACAGCCTCCACGATAGTAACTAACGACGCATCTAGAGCTTGTCTGGGAGTTCTTTCTGGCCACAGTGGGGCCGTCACTCGGTTATGCTTACAATGGGACACTCTTATCTCTGCGGATACTGTTGGGACGGTGAAAGTGTGGTCCTTAACTACAGCTTCGGGTCGGACTATCGCTGAGGAAAGAGAAGGGAGTGTCATTTCGTTGGCGGCAGATGGTGAGAATATCCTCGTTGGCAACACGAATGGTTCGGCATATCTAGTCCATCGAGATTCCGGCGCAAGTACGACACTTGTCGCTGGAGCAGATGCTGTCTGGGATGTGGGATTCACACCGTTTAATCGTCCATTGGCGGTTTACTTCAAGGGGGGAGATACTCAACTGGACATTTTCTGAAATGCTGCAGCGACGAGTTATTCTATAACACATGACACGACGTTGTTTATGTCGCTATTTGTGACCTTGGCGTAAATGTCCTTGTCCAAGAATGGGTTTAATCCCAACTATTGTGGATCTAGTATAATGATGCTACGGAGTCCCGTAAAGCGGAATAGGAGTAAATGGATAGTCTTCAATTGTTTGCATGGAAGCATACCAACTTCCAGTGTAGGGATATCAACACCAAGAAGATAGATGCCAAACCATGAAGTGAGCACCAGCTTCTTTCACAGATTATGCGCCGAGAATATAATCGAGTACAATAATCTAAAAGCCACGGAAGGTTCAGAGGCTGAAGATTGTGTTATGGATTGCTATGAGATACGAAAGGCCGTGATTCATGGCAAACTTAATCTAGAAATTGCACCGAGTAACCGTGAAATGGATTGTTGTTTAGCAAGTTTAACAAGAGTCCTATGAAAATATATCGAAGCTTTTCTGAACGAGGTATCAATGCACTGTATGTATATTTTCTGTGAATATGAGCCAAGGAATATAAGAGTTTCATGCTCTACCTGGTTGTCTAGTTTATCGTGGCGCCATGGTCTTCTTGACGGGCTTGCATGTTGTACTGTGCTTTTCTTCGATTCATTCCCAACGTACACTATATACAAATGAGGAATATATGTCTACTCAACGATAACGGTAAGCCCAGGCAGAAGCTCAACCTGGCCTGGCCTTTCTCCATGAAACGTGAGCGTGACCTCTGCTTCCACATCATTCGCAGACACAGAGATGGTGTGCCTGCCATCTTCCGATCCCGAGGGAACCTCATAATGCCAGGTTCCAGGCTCCAGGCCCCTTGAACCCTCAGGGGTGTAGATCGCATCGTACACCGTTGACAGATCAGAAAGCTGAGCCCCAGGAACAGACACTGAGACCGAGGATATTCCTCGCACCCCACTAGGGTGCTGGGTCAGATCGAACTGCTCCTCGTAGGTACCCGTAAGTGTCGAGGGGTTCTGTCCAGACACCAAAACGGCAGATGGCCCGGGGAGATTGCGTTTCCATGGGCGTCTCTCGCAGCGCTGATGGCCCATTCCAAGACGACTCCGTCCTCCCTCTTTCGACCTCCGGCAATCGGATCTTGATACGACAAGCCAGCGTTCGAGTCAAGAACTCGCTGCTGGACAGCAGTGAAATCACTCTCGCTTGGCAATGTGAGGGCCCAGTCAATGATCGTGTTTTCCTTCAGGTTTCCCCAGCGATGCTTCCTGCGCTGCTCGGGGGATGCATCTTTGGCAAAGGCAATGAACTCGATGTAGACTCCATCTGGGAGAAGTATCAATTTATTTGACGTCAGTCCGTCGGCATGAGTGCCGCCCGGTGCTATAACGAAGTGATCCTGGAGACGGTCGGATAGGCTGAGGAGGGAGTCATGAGGGATGAGAATGACGATGTGATCGAGGCTGGGATGAGACATTATGTACTATAAGAAGCGTGAAAAAATTGAGAATATGAGGCTATTTGGTAATTTGCTTTCTTAAAAAACAAGAAAATCAGCGGATTTTGGAGAAATAAACAAAAGGAATGAGGGGAGAATATTTGTATCTCTGGTTGAATTTATCATTCCCCGCAGCTATTATGTGATCGTATCGCGATTCCCCGCCGAGTCTAGAACGGAGTTTCCATAACCCCGCATACCCTACAATATCCTAAGCTTGTCACGCTTTGCATCTACTGAGGCCTTTGGTCTCAAAAGAATCGAAATGATGCTCAGGTATACTCTGTTCAACTTCTTAATGTGGGCACATCCAGGCGCACTATTCATTTATATAGAGGGTTCTGCAGATAGGGTCTTGAGGGACTAGTTCCCCATCTATCTAACTATTGTAATTTTCTATTCCTCACAACGTCGGCAAATGTCGACATTCTCACCTGGAAGCCTGCATGTGGGTCGTGGGTTCTCTAACAGGGGAGATTGAGTGTGATGAGTTTTCGGGCTGATCCTGTCTCATTTCATTCCAGTGATGAGCATAAATAGGTACTGGCGGTACTAATGGCAATTACGAAGGTTACATATTCCACACAATAGAAGATATTAGCTTTGCCGATAGAACGAGAAGCAACAGGACTGTATTTTGAGGTTTAAGTCCTACACAATAAATCAGCCACCACCAGCACTTAACACCCTTTCAGAACACCAGCTCTGAAGTGAAGAAGCATTCCTTATCCCTGGCGACGTTTTCTATGCCACACTGCACCCGCTGTCCACGCCATGTCGCAATCTAATGTTCGTTGTCCATGTTCAGTTTGAATAGTAGGAAGCAAGTCTACCATCTAACGCATTAGTATTCAAGAATAGTTGGTAAGAAAGGATACAAAAATATACTGACCGCTGTTAACGGGAGCCATCTTCGCACAGCGCCTGGTTCGGTATATACCAATCGTGAGCCAAAGCCACAACGATACAAATAAGCCCTGAGTGATATGAATTAAGGTCTGTGGGTGCGCCAAAGACACGTAGAGGGTCATGCAAGTGGTGACCGTGGATATCACATATTCAAGCCAGGTGATATGCATTGTGGGCACAAAGTTAAGTTTGACGTATGTATTTTAGACAATGGCTCTGGTCAAAACACAAAGAGAAGATCTGAATAGCAAGTCCATATGGATAAAACTTCAGTCTACCTTACCAGGGCCCCAAATGTCCCTTTTGTGGATCGCTTACCCGTTGATTCATCTAGAGATAATGGGTTGTTCCCACAACAGCGGAACTTGTCATGACTAGAATGCCTTCGGTCGGATATTATATTTCCATTGTTTGTTTCAAGGCCCGTTCCGCTGCAAACCACGGTACAGAATTGGAGGCATCCTGTCTTTATCAATCAGATGGAAAAAAACGTGGAGATCCCCTTGCTTTGTACGGAGTAGGCATAAAATAGGGCAAAAGACGGCAAGCCCTCGGGTCATTTTGGCATGATCCGACTCTCCGCCGGCAATCTTGAGTTGCCAGAGTACTCGCAAAGGAATATTCCCCATAGCCAATATTGCCACATATTTAGCAAAGACTATCATGACTGCTTTGTAGGCTTCATAACCTATTGGCGCTTACATAACCATGTATAGTTGGTAAGTCACGTGTATTAATGTGCAAGGGATATCACGATGGACTTGTCCTAAACTTATGCAACTCAGAATGGCTGACTAGAGTGCAGAGCTCCTGGGTGTAGCCCGCGTATACGCAATGGAAAGTCTCTGCGAGGGTCTGAGCCTTCCTTCCCTCAGGAGCTTGACACCTATCGGGCATTCTGCTGCAGATCCCAGGGTTTATCTAAACATCCCGAGAATCCCCCTGAGGGCATGTGGAGTCAACGATTGGCCGTCAGTCCATGACCCTGAAAAGCTTGGTAGAAGCTAATTCGCAGTTATTATTATCCCGCTTATCAGGCTGGAAGGGTCCCTCTCTGATTCCCTCTGCGCCTCCTTTCAAGGCGTTGTCAGACTCACTTGAAACGTCGATCCAATTTCCCTTTGGCTTTACTTCTTCGCCCGTCCCGCGATGTGCACTGCCCCCCGTCATGACTTTTCCACTCAAGAATGCTGGGGCGAGACCCTTGCATTCTTGCGGTGGGCCTCCGAAGATCGTGGCTGCCTATCGGTCCGAGAACCACGGAAAGCAATCAAGCTTTGGGACATCTCAAGCAGGCAGCGTCAATTCCCCAGAGTCGTTTGGCGGCTCCTTATTGTTAGCTCTCCCCCCGTCTCCGCGCCCACAACTTGCCATTTTCGCTTCTCATGAATTGACCCTGATCTCAGTCTTCCTATCGGCTGAAAGCCACCGCAATGCTTCGAAATTACATCATATCTCTAGCCTGGCTGTTGGGCATGGTGCAAGCGGCACCCTCGGAAAACTCCAAACTCCATCACCCTCCTAACGTGTTTTCAAAAACAGATAAATATCCTTTTCCAAATCAAGGCCACATCCACGCTCATGACCCTAATATCGTGCAGCACGACAATAATTTCTACCTGTTCAAAGGAGGGATCCAAGTCCCCATATTCAAATCATCCAGTCTGTCAGGGCCCTGGACGAAGGTTGGCACAGTCCTAGACGGCCCCTCAGTCATCGAAAAACAAAACCGCACGCGCCCCTGGGCTCCAACGACTGTGGAATGGAAAGGGAAGTTTTACTGTTTCTATACTATCAGCCAAGACGGAGTTCGCAATAGCGCTATCGGCGTTGCAAGTACAGACTCGATCGAAAGTGGCTGGACAGACCATGGAGGCCTGATCTACACTGAAAAAGGGCCTTTGGCCCAGGTCTGGCCATATACCGTGTCCAATGCTATTGATGCCTCATTCATAGCAGACCAAAAAACTGGACAGCCGTACCTGCAATTCGGAAGCTACTGGCATGGTATTTTCCAAGTGCCCTTGGCCGATGACTTGCTGTCCGTCAAGAACCCCGAGCATCCAGCCGCGAAGAATTTGGTGCATCTACCAGATGGAAATCCGAAGCCGGATGAAGGGTCTTTTATGAGCTATAAGGAGCCCTACTATTATTTGTGGTTCAGTCATGGAAAATGCTGTCAGTTTAACAAAGGTTTCCCAACTATGGGGCAGGAGTACAGTATCCGTGTTGGAAGGTCAAAGGATGTGCGAGGCCCGTTTGTGGACAAGGATGGAAAGGAACTGACAGAGGGCGGCGGCAACACTGTCTACGACTCGAACCATGGAATCGTCTATGCTCCCGGTGGACTCGGTGTGCTGCCTGCCAATACCACGGATCCAGACGTTTTATATTACCATTACCGTATGCTTATCGACATCGCCTTTCGTTAATGGTCCGGCTAACATCCACCCTCGCAGTTAACACAAGTATCGGATTCTCGCATGGCGTGAGTGCATCTGGAAACAATCAGCATACAGCCACTAATAACGACCTTCTAGGATGCCCTTCTAGGTTGGAACTATCTCGACTACGAGGATGGCTGGCCTGTCGCAAGGTATGTCCCCGCGCACCCTCAAGAGGAGCTGATACTGATAGTTTTGGCAGAGGAACGGAGAACTTCGCAGCTACTGTTCGGCCTAACTACTCCTTCATCGTGGCCGCCATGTTGTGTATGTGTTGCTTGGCTCTGATTCTACTTCCAGTTCGCTTTACTGGTCAAAAGCTCATACTACCCTTTATTTTACTAGTCGCGACAGGCTTTCTATGGCTCCACGGGTGATATTGCGTTGGATTTGGATGATTGTCTGAGTTTTTATGATACCCTTTTCATGTACCAAAAATCAGTTATTTCGATCGATATGCACAGGTGTATAAGATGTGGCTGGCCTCATGTATAGATCACGTCCGCAAGTATCGCTGGATGACACGCGTGTACATATGATGTTTATAGACTACACTTAAATATGACGGTGGACCGTCTCACTTCCGTCAATTCCCCAAAACAATCAACTTATGGATCCCAACCACCGTCCACCTGAAGGACCGTACCAGTTGTAAACGAGGCAGCGTCACTGAGCAGGAACAACACCGACTGCGCAACTTCATCCGCGGTCCCAGTGCGAGGAATGATGGTCGGGGGCTGTGTATACCCGCCTTGAATGACAACCGACTTGTCCAGCAAAGGAGTCTGAATCGATCCCCTATAACCACATCAGCATCGCCCACAAACATCCCACCCAAAACAGCACCAAACAGCAGCTGGCAGAGGAAGGATAGGATACTCACGGCGCAACCGCATTAACCCTAATATCCGGTCCAACCTCCTTGGCCACACTCTTCGTCAGCCCAACAACGCCATGCTTCGACGTCGAATACGCCACATGCAATGCAAACCCTCTCACTCCCTGGATACTCGTCGCATTGACGATACTGCCCTTGCCCACCGTCGCAGAAATACTCCTCACCTGTGCCCGCACGCAATACATCGTCCCCGTCAAATTCACCCGCAGCAACCGATCCCACTCCTCATCGTCCTGCTCCGTCAATCGCCCCGTCCCGTGCTTCTTCCCAATCATCCCCGCCATATTGGCAGCGCCATCCAACCGCCCGAAGCGCTGCACGGTGGCCTCAATCCACGCGTCCACGGACGCCGAAGACCCCACGTCAACCTTGGTCGTGAGCACATTCTCGGCGTCGGAATCGAGTTGCGCAAACGCGGCCGCGAGGGCCGTCTCGTCGATGTCGGCTAGGGAGAGACGCGCGCCGGAGCGGTAGAGTTGTTTCGCGACGGCGAGGCCGATCCCCGCGAGGCCTGTTACGGCGTACACTTTTCCTTTTACTGAGTCCATTGCTGTTGGGTTCTGCGTGAGTTGGGTTGTGAGGAGAGGGGATGTTGCATATAGTGGGGGATCTTCGAGAGGGGTAGACGCTTACTCGGTCGGAGATACTCCGAGTAGGTTGCATTCGGTTCATTTGGCAGAATGCGGGTAAATTGTGAAGGGTAGCTGGGCTTTATTTGGTTCTTTCTGGGGCTGGTTGGTGGTAGTAGCTGTGGTTTTGTTGGTTGGGGGGAGTATATTTACTTGACTGGGGTTATTTGACTTTTAGGGTTACTTTGTCATGCTGTTGATTGCTTCTTGTGTGGACTGCGGTGTCACTGCTTGTCTTCTCGATGAAAACATCACTGGATGGACAAGTATGTAATTATACATATTGAGAAGCTAAAAATAGGAGATATGATTTGTGTAGTAAGTACATACTGCAGGACTGGCTGTCGTTCCTACATATGCAGTTAAGCCGGCCTTGCATTGCATAGCATTCATCCAATAGACTATTCCATGTGGTGTATCGCCTGTACTAATCCAGTGGAGTGGGCATCCTAAATAAAAGCCAATATCGAGTACGTAGGGCATTGGAATCAAGTCCTACGTCTATGCAATCAGTAGCTAGGGCTAATGTGCCTGTCTAATCACGGGAGACCACTGTATCATGCCCCTAAGGAGACATACTTCCACTCCACCAAGTTGACTTTCTTGTTCTATTAATAATTGCTCTATTTTTGACCTGAATCTGTCTTCTTGATTTAAATTAGCTATTCACAGTATGCACATCATTTTCGAGTCAGAGCTACAATGCCTTCCACCCTTTCCCTGGACACCGGTCGATGCAAAAGCCATCCAAAATGCCAGATAGTATCCTCCTGTGACTTGATCGACTGCTTCAAATGCGGCCATAAATTAAAATGGCCATGCGGCACGCCAGGATAAGCATCAAGCCTCACCTCAACGCCATTATCTCCCAGAACCTTCGCATAGACAATGCCGTCATCGCGGAGAATATCCAGCCCCGCGACCTGAACATACGTTCGCGGAAGCGCAGAGAACGGCACTGTCGAGTTAAAGGGCGAAAAGTCCTCAGACAGGAGATCCTGCTGGTACAGAGCCTCATATCCTTTGACCGATTTGGCATCTAAACCGGGATTCCCAGGAGCATACCCATTTTGCTCCCGAGATACCCAAAGCTCCTTGTATTTCTCCGGCACGGTCTCTTGGCTCATACACACTGGGATGCTGGCCAGGACGCCCGTGATCGGCGGCGAGAGCTTCTCTTTCACTGCGCGATGTGCTGTCACAATTGCAAGGTTTCCGCCGGCTGATCCACCACCTAGCACAAACCCTTTCGTCAGGTCAGCGTCAAGCGCAGACGCGTTGGCTGCTATCCACTGCACACTGTCCCAGATGTCGTTCGGGGCTGTCGGAAACTTGTGCTCCGGTGCTAGGCGATAGGACGGCTGGACCACGGTGGCACCGTACAGCGCTGCGATCGTGCGGGCCCAGACAATCGATTGGATGTTGCTGCCCATGACAAACGCTCCGCCGAAGATCAGGACAACCACCGGGTTTGCCCCGGATGAGTTGCCCGGCTTGACGATGTGGAGATTGCTCTGATGTCCATCGCGCATCGGGATATCAATCACTGTTTCCTGGGTGTCGAAGCTGGGACAGGAATCATATGCGGTTTTCTCCATTGCCGCAACTATTTGGCGGACTGGCTCAATGGGTCCCGAAAGGTCCATTGGAGGGGGTGGGCTATGCCGCAGAATCTTATGCACGATGAGATGAGGCAATGTTCAGGAAAAGGTTGGCTGCTCACTTACTTCTTCGAGTTCTGGGTCGCGATGCCTAGCTTGAGAACATCCTCTTTCTTGTTATATTGCTCCATCACTGCAGTTGAGCGGCTTTGGCTTGGGATGTGGATTGACTGGCTCATTCAATTGAGGTCACTTGTAAGCTACGAATTTCTTCATTGGGAATGCAAGGTCTTTTATAGAATCCTCTATGACTACGTTGGTTCTGTATACAAAATGGCCCATGCAGGCTCATAATGACTCATGTATAGTCATGATGATTGGCGCAGAATAAGAGGCAGCGGGTCTTGGCGCTAGGGTAAGGCGAGCAGTCGAAGAGTGAAGGTGTATGTATATTCTGCCGAGAGCTCTTCAAATCTTAAGGTCAGGTTAGGGAGGTAGCTGTTGTATACCTGATTCAAACAATGTAAATACTATGTACAAAAATTGAATTCTGCACACTATTTCCAACCCCACCTGTCACTGGGTCCGGTTTGCGGGGACCCCGATCCACTCTATCTAGACAAGTCAGCCGCACGTATCTGCCCCAGAGCCAATCTACTCATTGCTCCAAATCCAGTGATCGGCGTAGGCAGACTTGTTTTTATTCTGTTTATCATAGCCTGATGACTATCATTCTTCAATCCTGTGGCGGTCTAGACCTACTAGTTACACTTTGTAAACTTCGCTACCAACAGTCAACCGCATGATGTCGATGTTCAGTTGAGAGCTCTACGGACCCAGCTCCTATAAAAATAATAAACCAAGTGTACGGAGTACTACACCATCTCTTTACAAGAGCATTTGGATTAATCACCTATTGATATTCTAGGCAGTGTGAGATACACCAGCACCTCCATTACGCTTACACAGCACACAGCTCTCAGTCATACTCCGTCAACACATCACAAGAACACATCTTCCCCGTCCGATTCCACACACTCGAAGCCAGAAACAACGAACGGACGCTTGAACGTGTGGCGTCCCTCGTGCAAAGTGTAAGAGTGAGAGGGGCCTGAACGACAGAAAGGGTCCCTGGCGTTGTATTAGCTAACGATTCTCAGGGGACGAGACAGCAGTATCATCATACTTATAGAATGTACATTCAATCCCAGTTCCAGGTCTGTATGGTGTAATTATTATATGTCTTATGGGTGTATCCTGGACGCTGTGGATTGTTAGCATTGTATAACTTTGCCGTTAGTAGGTCTACATACTCCGGGTCGACCTGTACACATTCAGAGGATTGGGCAAACTGCGCGGACTCTGCATCGGGAGTCTGTAGAATGACCTATTTTGTCTGTTAGTGGTTGCAACTGGACTTATAACACGTAGATGGACGGTAGAATAGTAAACATACTGTTGCAATTGGACTGTTTGCGAAGCTAGTGCTTACGAAGAGTGCAAGCGTGGAAGCGGCGAGGAGGGAGAGACGCATGGTGGCGGATCAAGCTGGATATCAATGGTTGTCTTGGAAGTAGAAGTAAGTAGACGAGTTTGTGCAGCACAAAGAGAAAAGCTCTGGAGTATGGGGGGGGGCAATTGACTTTATAATGGCTAGATCTTCAAATAAACTCGATGACATATATGACATCTTGGACTTATACGTACCAGGTATATCCCAGGTCCTCGAATGCGTCGATTTTGTAAGGCAATCCGATCGAGAGAAAGTCAATGATGTCTTGATGTAACCTTTCGTCGGAATGCTGAAAGTACTACTACGTTTGACAGCGACTATCTCATATGAGTCTTATGACAATATATCAATACTTTCTTCATTCTCTCTAGGGATCACTGCACTCATTGCTCCGTATAATAGTTTCTGAGCATTCAGAAAAATCTAATAACGATATCTGGAAATAAAAACGATGCTTGCTGAAGATCGGAATGTCAGTCACCGGATCAGCGGTTCCATATACCAAAAAGCTGCACACGGTACCAAGCTTCAGAAATTTCACTTAGAGGGTCTGGAGGAGTTCACCATAAGCGTAAAGAAGGCTATGAATATTTTCTCGTAAATATTAACTCTCAATAGTGGTGATATCACGAGCAATCGCAGTGTAACTGCGGAATGTCCGGATATAAACTCCGCTGCGGGTCGAAGCTCGAAACATGGTTCACGTATTCTACGGGTACCGATTACTCTATTAAATGGACACATATAACATGGGAAGAATATTTTGGCATCAATATGGGCTGAGGGTTTCCCTTGATCTTGGACTTCAGAATGCAAAGGTGTAGTGCCTGGCAAGTGAGACGTGGTCCAAGTGAAGGAGGAAAAACATGCCATGTGTCGATCTTGGAACAAAGGAAAATCATAAATAAATAATAACAAACATTTACCATCTGCTCGACATATACTCTTCATGGCAGCAACTTTGAGGTAGATTCATACCAGCTTCTCTGCCACATGTCCACCACGAACTAATTCTACGTGCCTTTTACAACCATACGAAACTTCTATGAGCTCCTTGCCAGCCATGTTCAACCCATCAATACTATACATGTCATGGCTATGGGTCGTCTTTACCCTCTACTTTGGAGCCTGCTGTTATGAGCCGGATGATATGAATATCTATAGACTGTCTGTCTCAAGGTGGATAGGGCAAGAGCCGGTTCCTACAGCCTTTCAATTTTTGGACCACTTCAAACTGCAAAGCGACATGTAAAAGTGAAGACGCTGTCCACTAGAATAGTCTGATATATTGCTGTCTACCACAGACTGACTCACCCCAAAATCTGAGTTAAAGCACATACATCAAGACCTGCCACAAGTTCTCGAACACGCAGACAAACCAGCACTCAGTCCATCATCAACCAACTTCCTAACATAGCTGGGACCCTTTCATCCCCAATCGTGCTTGTATTGGTATAAGCAGGTCGTGCTCACTGTGCCGTTTCAGTAGCACAAGCGAAACCTTCGTCCTGTTTATAGACAATCTTCCCCTCTGCACCCTGTCAGTAAGCAAGCATATCCATACAAGAGCAAGACGCTTACCAATATTGATCGTCTTCTTCGCCGCCTTCCTTTCGGGATCCTTATCACTCTCATCCACGTTTTTGCACCAGCATTGGATCTCATGGTCCTTGAGTATACAGCGATCGCACTTGCCATCGCGGAATCCATTGCCACTAAACCTTTCGTATTAGTAGGTTACTCGCGATAGAATCCAAGTGTTACGTACTCCTTCTGGGAATGCTCCTTATGGGCGACAAGGCTGTGTGTATTCGTATCCCAAGCGAAACATTCGTTCAGCCCGATTGTCGTATCCGTCCAACTCACTGTTTCCCCATTTTGTTTGGTTGCACACCTTCCAACTAAGAGTTGAACTGGTGTGTCTTCGTTTTTGTCGCCGTTTTCGTTCAGGCTTGGGACCGTCCAAACATGGAGGAGTTTGCAGTCTTTGAATATGTCTTGCGACTCCACGCTGTTCGTCTCGTGCTGCTCGTCGGTGGCTTGACTAGCAGCTAGAACAGCTAGGGAAGAGGTGACAATCAAGGACCAATGCATTCTGCTCGATGAAGGGAAGAGTAAAATGGGGGTGGATTTGGAATTCTGGGAAACAAAAGATACAGAATCAGGATCTCAATTGGGGTATTTATATGCAAATGCGAACATTTATTCGCAACTTATATTGTGTATGTACAACGTCTCCCAGCCGGGATTGTCGTTGTTAAAACTTGAGTTATATGGAACGGGGCAACCGGGCGCTTCGGTGTGCTCTGGGCCTGAGAGGCCTTGTGTAACAAGATATTGTCAATACTTCACGGCAGTAGAAGTTATAGCTCATACAATGAATGATCTGCCCTGGTTTAAGCTTCCCTTGGTGGTGCAGAGCTGGTTAGCTTTGACAATGTGCCACCAACGGAATAGATGTCAGCGCACCTGCAACTCACGCTGAAGCTATCTTTTGTCAACGTAACTGATTCCGTTGACGAGCTTCATAGCCCTCGTCTTCACTCGATTATTTTGTATGATCACTATCTACTAATTGATTGTAGGAATACGTATAATGATGAGTCTAGAGAATGTGAAGGGGCTTATGTGGCCACATGACGGCAGTGCGCCATATTCATCAAGTATCCATTGCCATAGACAACCCAGCAGAGATGTACAGAGGTTGAGCTTAGCTGTAGCTAAATTGAGATATGTACGTGGCATCTTCTGTAGACCGCCATTTCGAGGATCTACGAGTATAGATATAGTTAAACTTCATGCCCAGATTCTTGACACAACCCAGTAACACCTGTATGTCTTTATATCAAGCTTCCAACCTTCTTTGTGGCTAGCTCTACTATGAAGTAGGCTTTGTATAGCTCCTAGTCAGTGGTTACGCAGTATCAGCATAGGAAATCAAATACCGTGCCCTAAAGAAAGGTTTTCTTCGCTATTTCACCACTGCGGAATAAACCTTGTTGAATTAATGATAAAGGGATCTGAGCTATACACGTAATCTTGTACAGTCAAAACTCTTTGTCACACCTATTTACATTCTAGAACGCGGTAAGGTGTATAAAACTACTTTGCACACGCCCCGGGGTTTAGAATAAAGTTGCTGCTGCATATCAGCCCTAACTACGCTCTGCTTCTGCGCCCAAGCAAGCCATCTTGTCCGCCTCCTTCTACCTCTTTATCCAGAGCTAATAGACGTCTTGCGCGACGACATATCATACTCTATTATGGCATAGCAATAAGCACTTATCCGATTCGTGGATGCTTGCCACTGTTAAGGTTGGGACCTCACTTGTTAGCCAGAGTAGTGTTTTGTTGAGAGCGCCACTATAGACCCTGGCGTCGAGCCAAACAGCATCTCTCTTCGCTTCTAGGTCCTGGCCTGCGCTCTTAGCATCTCTGGGCGCTGACCGTATGACAGACTGTCATACAAAACCCTCAGTAAGGAATACTCTAAGTGTCTCCCTTAAAAAAAGGGGGACTCGAGAGCGGGTAATATACTATCATTGAACATATCCAACTAACCGACAGATGGAATAAATTCAGATCAATGGAATATATTCAGTTCATATATATACATATCTATGCTCATGTCTATGTAATCTATCTCTATAACTTGCTCGCTCGCCCAGCCTCATTGGCCTTCTTCCACATGCGGATCCGCCGTTCATGTCCAGCATTAAAATCATCCACCCACTTCTGCTCGAACGGCGGCAGTATCCGTCCTGGTTCTCCCTCGGCTGGCTCGCCTGCGAGCTGTCGAAGTTGTTCGAAATACGTCTCAAAGTCGGGATTTATCATCAAGAATCCCGGACCGTCGCCCTTCTTTGCGATGCGATCCTGTTCCCACCTCCGCTGTTCTTCCAGAGATGGCAGATGTGCCTTTCCGGCCAGAACGCGCGCGGCGGCCACGGCTTGCCATTCGAAGACCTTGAAAGTCAACCCGGCGCCAACCTACTCCAGTCAGTTATTGCTTTTTTTTGCTTTTCTGTAGTAGACAGTTCGGGGAGACATACCGCTCCTAAGAACACCAGGGAGGGATCCCGCTGATGGAACACGTGCAGATAGAGATCCGGTATACGGTTGTTTCGGATCGGGACATCAGGTAAGAATGGCAGCGTCCATGTGAAGCCAGTGCCAAAGATGATGTGGTCGACATCTGATACTGACGTCCCGTCCTCGAAGTGCACCGTCCGCTCCCCGTTTTCGGTGGTAATATGCGAAATGGGCGGGCGGCGCTCAATTTGAGGGTGCTTGAACGCCTCGTCGCCAAAGTAGGTGTTGTACTTTCCGCGCACAACGGCAATAATGGGGCCCTTTGCATGGTTTACCAGACTCACAGCGGTGTCTGCAGCGGAGACGGAGGCTCCGACGGTAATTACCCGCTGTTTGACCTGTTAGCCATCCATGTGGTCAAGGAAAGTGGGTCTCGCTGCGTATAGCTGCAGGTAATAAAGCGTCTTACCTTGCCCTTGTACTTTTCAGGTCCTCGGTACTGTTTTGTGTGCTCAACACTGCCGGGGTACTTCTCTGCGAATTCCTTCAATCCTTTGATGGCAGGGACATATGGCACTGCATAGTGTCCGGAGGCAACCACCAGAGCGTCGAAGGTTTCCGTCCACCAGTAATCCAAGCCATTCGGCTCGCCGGCGCGTCGCAGAGTTAGAGTCCATTTACCGGTTTGGGGGTCCTTTTCTGCCCGCTCAACAGTCGTGTTGTACTCCACAAGGTCTTGATATCCGTTTCGGTTCAAGAGATCCTCGATGTACTGCCTTATCACCGTGTGGTGACGGAACGGCGTGTCGGGGCCGTGGATCTTAACAGACCAGTCGGAAAGGATATCCGGAATCTGCTCCTGCGAGTACTCCATGACCGAGGCAGCCACATTGGCGTGCAGAGTGGGGTAGACATGAGAGTCAAAGTAGCGGTGCTGAGACACTGTGGGAACATATCGGGGCAGATTGGCGGGGATTGAAACCGGCCTATCTGCAGTCCTCGCAGAAAGATTGTCGATGTCCAGAGGGACCGGTTTCTCATTCTCTCTTGACACCCTATTGGCCGTTAATTACATCGGTCCTACCGTCAATGTTTCCAGATCTTTGCCTACCAGCATCCGCCAGCCTTTTCTTGCCGTTCAAACACGCGCACAACGTCGAAGCATTTCTCCTGCACTAGCGCATCGACTGCAATGGCACCAGCAGGGCCAGTACCGATGACCGCGACACTTTTATTCGGCGACATTTTTTGGGATTTGCTATCTTACAGTGGAGATACCGACTGGTGGTGGGTTTTTATCTGGTCGGTGTTCGGCCTTTGCTCCTTGGCTATCGTGATGCAAACACCGAGCCCGATGGCATCAACAAGGACCATTCACCGAGCAAGATCAAAGACTGAGGCGATAAGGATTGATAGTTGGCCAATTTACCGCGACATATAGGGATCTGATAGTTAGTTACAGAGTTTTTTCATGTCTTTTAAGCACCTAGCATAGTATCCTTCATGATATATCGACCAAAACGACGCAGTCTTCTGACACGATATACAATCGCCGAACACTCCTATACTGCTAATTGTGTTCCTGAGGCACCAGTTATGCAGAGTTTTGCTGTTTCATCCTGAAAAGGGTTAGCGTGGCCATCATCCATGTGTGATTGGCCAATTGCGGAAGAAAATTCTCAACATCGTGGGTCTAGTGCAATTTGAGTATGGTTCCTGGTTAAGCTTCGAATGTTGGTTTACACCTTACCATGTCCGGTATAGCGTACCTCGGGATGGACTCCGGGTACCTAATTTTTAGTTTTCATGCTTAATTCCCTGAGAAATACATTCGGGTTTGGTCACTTTACTTGGAGATTATTTCAATCTTTGTGAGCCATATGGCTGGTATGATGATTCACTTCCTTACGACAAGTCAGTACTGTCTCAAACCAAAGCGTGTATTGTCCTTGATGGCCAGTAAATGAAGCTGACTACCGTACGACGATGTACCTCGTAGTCTCGGAAAATAGCCTCCTTCGTACTACCGAGACAAGGAATAATCCTGGACTTAGTCGTAGTCACGTCGTACACAGTCGAATTAGGGGAATAAGCAAACCCCACGTCTACCATGGACTGGCCCTTGTTTCCACAAATCAACGCATGTCTCCACGAAGGAACAAAAATCAAAGAAAATTCACTGGGAACACGAGTCTTGGCCATAGTGAGGGAGCAAGGTCCATGCTGTCTCAGAGCCTAGCTTGAGCTTAGTGGACGAAGGGTCGCGCTTCAATGGTGGTTACACTGGGGATGGTGGGATCCGGGAGTAGGAACGTTGCTGCCTTTCTCTATACTGCCAGCCAATCTACGAATGCTAACACCGTTCAGAGCAAGCGCAGGTGCCCCTACGTCCAGATGTCAACTTCCCCTTTGTCGTTGTGCAACGATGTCCAGTTCTACATGCCAACCACATCCTTCCACTTTTCTTTCTCTCCGCTCCCCGCCATTGCTCCTGACTGACAGTTGTTACTGCTGAATTGGCCTCCATTGTTAAACAGTCTAGTCTTCCACCGTAGACAGATAGTGTCAGCCATGTGTTTTTCGCGAGTTCGTCTGCTTGTGCTCTTCCTTCTAGCGTCGCTCCTGCTATTCCTCACGTCGCCATTGGCCGTCCAGCTTCGTCTGCTCCTCCGAATGCCTTTCATCTGGCAAAAGTCCGCAGCCGACTCCATCATCTCACATGACCGCGACGCCTTCGATGTCACTTTTCGCGCCTACGATGGCGAACAACCTCCCTCAGAGCCCCCTCATCCGTCTCCTGTCCCCGCGACGCTGCACCACGTCCACCTCGGCGGCACAGCCCTCCGACCAGAATGGCTGGCCGCCAGGGAAGAGTGTCTGAGGATACATCCCGGATGGAAGACACACACCTGGGACGACACAGCCGCCAATCAATTCGTGCGCGAACACTTCCCCGAGCTCCAGGATACCTGGAACAGCTACCCATACCTCGTCCAGAAGGTGGATGCACTGCGCTATATGATCCTGTACATACACGGAGGTGTGCGCGCCTTTCCCAGCCATAAAATGGCCCCCGCGGTGGACATTGTGAACGGGACTGACCTTTGCGCGCCACGCGCATTGCCATCATAGGTGCGATCTTAGACCTTGATCTCGTCTGCAAGCGATCGCTCGAGCCACTACGCAGGTTCGACTTTGTCGCGCCCGCCGCCTATCCCGCCGGCTTCTCCATCGGCATGCTTCTTTCCGCTCCGAAGAACTCTTTTGTCCGCGATCTTATTGATAACCTACCCCGGTTCAATCGTCGGTGGTTCCTGTTTCCGTATGTGACGGTTATGTTTAGTACCGGGTGTCACTATGCGTCGTGAGTTCTCTTTTTCTGCCTCGTTGGGCTATGGTTGTGTGGTATGCTAAGTGGTGCTCTGTGTAGGATGATTTATACTACCCAGCCAAATCGAACGTCGCTCCGTATCTTGTCCGGTCCCTCCGATAATCCGAATTTGCATATGCTGAATGGGTTCGTGGATACCCCGCTCTTCCGACATCTCGGGACGTCGTCTTGGCATGCGAATGATGCGCTGTTCGTTCGGACGGTTGAGGAGTTTGGAGGGCGAGTTCTATATTGCGTTCTTTCTGCAGTTGTAGTGGGCGGGTGTGTCGTGGTTTCGTTGTCTCTAGCGGCCCGACGACGTTCTATGAGAATGGAGACGCCAACGTCGCCATCTAAGGTTTCTGAAAAGGTCGTCTGATTTTCTGTACGTTTTGGGTTTTCGATTCATTCTTATTCTATTGTCACGAATACTGTGTCTACTATGAGCAACGAGTGATGTACATACAGTATCCACATATAAACTTTGGTAATCCGCATAGCACACTTATACAGATATACTCCACTCAACCCTAAGAATACTAGTATCCTATAACCCATTCCATTTCCTATTCTACTCATTCAGACCACCCTCCTCAAATCATTCACCCACATATATCGACTGATCAACAGGTAAAACACCCGATCAAACGAATACTGACTCCCGTGTTGACTAAACGCCCTCCGCGCCTGGAAATACCTCCGCCAGTCACTCACCAACAGCGCCCTATCCCCATAGGGATCCTGCATCGTATGGCTCTTCCCATTGTTGACTTTGACACCATCATACTCCGGTGGCGCAGATACAAGCGCCCGCAGAATGCGTCCTGAAAAGGACATGGACGTCGGAATCAAATCCGCTAGACCGGCGTACTTCCGCAGCAGGAATCTGGTCTGCAGTGTATACGCCGGTGGACTCTGTGGGTTTTTGGATATGTAGCTCCTAGGGCAGTGTTAGTTGGTTCGATCATACTTGCCCTTGCAATATCAAACATATGATATCGTATTATTTCACAACTACCAAAGCAGAAGTGGGATAAAAGAAGAAGAGAAAGAAGAAGGAGAAGAAAGAGAACAAACCTAACACCCGCACTAACCGCGCGATGATTAACATGTCCAGATACACCCCCGCTATCGAACGTGATGATCTATTGGATATACATACGTTTTAAGTTAAAACCCGTTATAACGCTTTGGGATGTGTGGAAGAGAGACCCACCAAATCAATGTTCCATTTCTGGACGTACTGCCCCACAAGCTCCTCGATGAGATCCTCCCGCCACCATTTCCGGGGATTATCCTGGAGCTCGTAGTGATCTAGGTTCAGGCATCGCTCGGGCGTAATCCCGAGTTCGGCACAGCTGTGCTGCAGCTCGCTGTGGCGGGTGTTGCCGATGCCGTCGTAGTTGCCTGGGTGTATTTGTTTTCTTGTTAGAGAGTGATGTGTGTGTCCGGGTGGAGGGATACAGTCTGTGTTAGTATGAGAATGGGGGGGGGGGGGATTGAAGACAAACCAGATGAAAGCGCCAGTAAAGCGCGGGTCACGGTCGCATCGTCGCTGTGATAGAGAATACTCGGGCTGAAGAAGAGGGTCTCGTCGTCTGGATGCGCGGTGACCAGGAGGATGTTCTTGGCCGTGCGGAATGCCCGGGGGACGAGACGGGGGTCGTTGGCGAGGGGGTAGGCCAGGAGATGGTAGAGGAACAGGGGCGCGATGAGGAAGACCGTGGTGAAGAAGAAAGCGAGTGTGGCGGGTCTTCTCCAGATGCGCTGGATTAGGTGTTTGATGAGGCGTCGCATTGGGTCATTAGTTTGTTGTGTCTACTGTAGTATGTTCGGATGGTGTCGGTGACTTCAAGTTGTTGGGTAGATTGGTGATATAATACGGTATTGTTGTTCCATGGTTGGTGGCACTGCAGCTGTCGTTACCAGGTGAAGCTAGTAGTTTGGACTGCCGTCTTACGGTACTGTCGTATTGAAAAGTGTCCTTGATTACAACCCATCTGGATATCTCGCAGGAATGGAATACACTGGTTCTTATTGTCGGTCATTGATAATGATCGAATAAATTACTTGTATTTGATACAGGAATGGAGTTCCCAATGCTTGTCTGTCAGCTAGCAGGCGGAGCTGAACAAGAGGGGCCAGAGCATGTATTAAAAGAAAAAGGCTAGGGCTTTCCAAGATCACGACGATTAAGCTTACTATTTGCAGATGGAACGGTGATCGTGGTTAGTATAAATACTTAACCCTTCAACTAGTACCTGACTAGATGACACTCTAGGAAAAGTGTCAGACCGATATCGCAGCGGGACCAATTTACGGATCGTTCCGCCAGCTTGAACCCCCATTGTGGATGCGTCGGCGTTGACTCATCGGAGACCCTAGTAAATTTGGTCCCCATAAAAAGTATCGCCCCTCTCCAATTTTTATCACCACCAGACAATCACTCCACCATGGACCATCTCAAACAAACCTTTGCCCAATGCCAACAAGAAGGCCGTCCGGCGCTGGTCACCTATGTGACGGCCGGATTCCCCACGGCGGAGGAAACCCCGGACATCATGCTGGGCATGCAGGCCGGAGGAGCCGGTGAGTCATTTTAGCTCCATCCTGTCAATCAACGATCCTGATAAAGGCCGTAGATATTATTGAACTGGGTCTCCCATTCACCGACCCTATTGCGGACGGTCCCACCATTCAGAAGTCGAACCTGAAGGCCCTCAAAAATGGGGTCACCATTACCTCCATGTTGGAGATGGTGCGGGAGGCCCGCCGGAAAGGACTCAAAACCCCCGTTCTCTTCATGGGTTACTACAACCCCCTTCTACGCTACGGGGAGTCCCAAATCCTGGCGGATTGCAAGGATGCCGGCGTCAACGGCTTCATTATTGTGGATTTGCCGCCAGAAGACGCGATTCGCTTCCGCAATGGCTGTACCAAGATGGGGTGGGTGACACTACCCTCTTGAATACGGAAGTTTTATGTGGCAGGCTTACTGACTCCATTGACAGACTCTCTTACGTCCCGTTGATCGCGCCTTCAACTACCGAGCAGCGCATGAAGGCGCTCTGCAGCATGGCCGACTCTTTCATTTATCTCGTCTCCCGCATGGGCGTCACGGGCGCACGGGCACCCTCAACACAGAGCTTCCCGCCCTCATTCAGCGCGTCAAGGGGCTGTCCGGTAATGTCCCCGTGGCAGTTGGATTTGGAATCAGCACGCGCGAGCACTTCCTGAGCGTGACTTCCATCGCCGACGGTGCGGTCATTGGTAGTCAGGTGATTAACATCCTGGCGGACGCCCCGGCCGGACAGGCCGCTCAGGCAGTCGAGGACTACTGCTTGAAGATCACTCAAAGGAAGGTCACTCTGGACGCATCGACGAGTGCAATCCCGCAGACGACCGAAACGAAAGTGGTCGCCCCGACCGATGACGCAGCGGCAGCGGTGACTGATGGACCAGGACGCTTCGGAACTTTCGGCGGTCAATACGCCCCCGAGGCCCTCACAACGTGTCTCGCCGAACTCGAGGCTGGCTTCCAGGCAGCTCTCGATGACCCGACCTTCTGGGAGGAATATCGGTCGTACTATCCTTACATGGGCCGTCCCTCGAGCCTTCACCAGGCGACACGCTTGACCGAGCATGTCGGCGGTGCAAACATCTGGCTGAAGCGGGAAGACCTCAACCACACTGGATCGCACAAGATCAACAATGCCCTGGGTCAGATCCTGATCGCTCGTCGGTTGGGGAAGACCGAGATTATCGCTGAAACGGGCGCCGGTCAACATGGTGTCGCGACCGCCACCGTGTGTGCTAAATTCGGCATGAAGTGTACCATTTACATGGGTGCGGAGGATGTCCGTCGACAGGCCTTGAATGTATTCCGGATCCGCTTGCTGGGGGCCACCGTAATCCCCGTCGAATCGGGATCGCGCACCCTTCGTGATGCCGTGAACGAGGCCTTCCGCGCATGGATTGTCCGCCTGGATACCACCCACTATATTATCGGATCTGCCATTGGGCCCCACCCCTTCCCTACGATGGTCAGGACCTTCCAGAGTGTGATCGGTGATGAAACCAAGGCTCAGATGCAAGAGCTGGGAAAGTCGCCGGATGCCGTTGTTGCCTGTGTTGGTGGAGGATCCAACTCCGTTGGCATGTTCTACCCCTTCTCCAAGGATCTCTCTGTCCAGCTAGTTGGTGTAGAAGCCGCCGGAGACGGGCTCGACACGGACCGACACTCCGCTACGTTAACCGGTGGTTCCGTCGGCGTGCTGCATGGCGTTCGCACATATATCCTGCAGGACGAGCACGGCCAGATCTCCGACACTCATTCCATCTCTGCTGGGCTGGATTACCCCGGAGTTGGACCGGAACTGGCTAACTGGAAGGAAAGTGGGCGGGCGACGTTCCTGTCTGCCACGGATGCCCAGGCCTTTGAGGGCTTCCGTCTGCTGAGCCAGTTGGAAGGCATCATTCCCGCGTTGGAGACGTCTCACGCCGTGTGGGGTGCCATTCAGACAGCCAAGAAGCTGGGACCTGGCAAGGACATTGTCTTGTGTTTGAGTGGTCGCGGAGATAAGGACGTGCAGAGCGTGGCTGATGGATTGCCCACAATTGGACCCCAGATTGGTTGGGACTTGCGGTTCTAAACATGCGAGTTTCACTCTGCACCTATAAAAGTTTAATTAAATCTGAAAGGGTTAGATACCTCGATAGATGAAATGATGATACGCCATGGTTTCAACGATTTCCATAGTATATATTAATTTGAATCTGCAGACAACAGATCTCAGTCGCGGATCTCAACGTAGAGTTTATCCATCTTTCATTCACGGATGTAGTCACTAAAGAGAAGAATCTCACACTATTCAAATCTATGGCTCTTCACGGTGCAGAACGAGAGAAACGGTTGCTGGCAACAAAAAAAACAGAGATCAAGATGTTAGAAGTGAAAAAAATCTCCCCGACTGGGAGTCGAACCCAGGTCTCCCGCGCTTGTTCTCGTAAGAGATGACAAGCGGAAATCATGACCGTTAGACCATCGAGGATTAGTCATGGAGAAAAGATCCGTTAATTTGCTTTATCAAATAAGTTGGCTGTGTACAACCTTCGCAAACGCCAAAGGAAATCAACTATTCCGCTGACTAGTACATTCGCCATGGCGCTCAACACAGGACTATCCATGCTACACAGAGACCCGGGAAGTGATCTCTCCCAGCGTGTCTGCTGTTACACTTTTCGATCGCTGGCTTATTGAGGGCGTCTGAGGCGAAATCACCGTCACAACTTATATCGACGCGACTTCTACGTTCATGAGAAAGCTGATCTTCATTTGAACCCAGAAGGGTGGATGTCCACATAATATCTCTGGGAAATATGAAATTAGAAAACAAGGTGCTATGAATCCGGCTACTCTTTGGAATGTCCAGCTGCTGGTGGCTTCACAATGACTCAATTTAAATGTGCTCCAATGAATGCAGTGCAAAGATGAAGGTCTCCAAGACAGAGGCTGACAGTGGTGTTTCATTCACAAGTTACTTGTGTTAATCTCCGTCTGTGATACGGACATCGCAATAAGTGACACGATCACTATGAAAAAAAAGGTGAAATGCCGAAAACAATCCAGTACTTGCGGCGTGTTCCCTAAGCCGCGTAATGTCAATCTATCTCGGGCTCAGTTACGCTCCTGGTGGAATTGCTGGCCCAAGCTTTCACAGGGAAACGGAGGAAGGTGACTGGCTAAAGACCATCTAACACAATGGTGCTGCAGCTAGGTGTGCAATTTTATCTTTAGTATTTCACACGCCTTGTCTAATAAATCAAGTGCACAATTGACTACCTGACAGGACTGTTGCTTGGTCAATTTGCAGAACCTGATGCTACTCTGAAGTCTGTTATGAAAATGATATCAAACCAAAGCCTTATTGGGTCGATTGATCTGCAATTCTAATTTCTAACCCACATTAACTGGCTAGCCTTCAGGCCAGTCTTTGGCTTTTACCTGCCTATCTCACTCGCAACCATACTCTTTTCGGAGAAAGCGACGAGATTCACTTATGTAACTCACCTCGCCTCGAGAAGAGCCGATATATTCCCGGTATGAGATAGTTGATTCGATGTCCCGGCATTCGCCCCCTACTTTATGACTGAAAACTCTACTTTGCATATGCTTCCTCGCTATTTGACTCCACACAAGCTAGCAAGCAGCCAACTGCCGTCAGAGAGAACCGGCGTGCCAGACAAAATTAGCGATATGACAGAGGGAGGGTACCTGTTCCTCCGTGCATAAATCTAAATCCGTGCCAAACGCCTTAAACTTCAGCTTTCCGCCTATACGATCATCGCCCTTCGATGATCCTTACTCTTCTCTGCAATAAATCCGAAACGGCCACTACTTCAGCATTGGTCCGTCATTTGATTCCAATAGTCCAGACCTTAAGTCCAGAATTGGACTAACCCATTGCCTTGCTTGTTGGTCCTTACCATTTAGAACGAGATTCCAGAGGCTTGGCGGGGGCTTGAACGGATCAGATAAGGAGTTAACATAGTGTTTATGCTAAGGTTAGCGTTGATATGAATACTAGACATTGTGTGTAAGAGTAGCGGGAGGTCGCTTCAGTTCGATTGTTTCATTGTTGAGCTAGTAGTGGGGACTGATAGCTGACGACGACTTTGCCTTTATACTTGATTGTGCGGATGTGATGGCGCTTACGGTGGACGAGACGTTATGTGCGGCATAATCAGTGAAATTTTTCACTAATGATGACAGTCTTTCTTTCGTAAAGATCCAGAAA